GGGCAGGACGTGTTAGAAACGGCTTCTGCTTCAGACTCTACCCAAAGTACAGGTGTGGAGTTCATCATTCACTGTGTGGAGATGTGGATGGAAGCAAGAACACAAATGATTCTCCATTAGATGTAGAAGATGTATTCCAACAGCCAAGTCACACAACAAAACTGCATTCCTGTTTTAATTCATGGCTCTTTGGCTTCAGGTTTGATGCCTTCATGGATTACTCCATTCCAGAGATTCTGCGGGTCCCACTGGAGGAGCTTTGTCTGCATATTATGGTATATAAGTCACTCTCAGTCACACCTCAAGAGTAGGAATATACACAAAGGCAAACACTTTTCCTCCTGTCTGGTAGAAATGTCAGTACGGCTCCCCGGAGGACTTCCTGAGCCGAGCACTGGACGCTCCACAGCCCCAGTCGGTCAGTAACGCCGTCAACCTGCTGAGGAAGATCGGAGCGTGTCACCCCAGCGATCACGTCCTCACCCCTCTGGGACACCACCTGGCGAGTCTGCCGGTCAACGTGAAGATCGGAAAGATGCTCATCTATGGAGCCATCCTCGGCTGCCTGGAGCCCATAGTACGTCCCTCTGCCTTGTTCCTCCAAAAACAAACACTCTGATCATTTCTAAGTGTTTGACAGTTACATCTTAGTACTACAAGATTTATTCATTTTAGATATTTCAAACCATTACTAGCTTCTTATATTTTGTGAAAATTAACAAAAGACTTGTTTCAGGCGACCATCGCAGCAGCCATCACAGAGAAGTCTCCTTTCTCCACACCAATGAATAGAAAGGAGGAAGCTAACCTGGCTAAAGCTGCGCTGGCGTTAGCCAACTCTGACCACCTGACCATATACAACGCATATCTGGGGTACGGACCAGTCGGAAAACGTTCAAGTGCTTGACTGTTCTGTTCTGAGATCGATCGCGCACAAATATTGAGTTATTACCACTGAGATGTTTTCAGTGGAGACATTAAAACGAATAAATCAGTCATGGAATCTGTAGATACTGAAGAGCCATCCTTTTATGATAACCTTAGTTGTGTTTTCATGACCTGTCACGAGACAATATACATCTATAAAAAGCTAGTGGGGCTGATGCAACAGCGGCAGGAGGCTGCTTAGTCTATTTTTAGGCATTTCTTTTTGTCACCGTCAGCAATCGTGTAGCAAATACTGTCACTGCTGCTAATCAAAGTAGCTACAAAGGTCATTGTCTCAAATTGAAAAGCTTGAATGATTTATTTTTTAAGCAGCTATTGCATGAATCAAATTCATCCATTTGGTTCTCTTTCATCATTTAATCATACAGCATTGCTAAGAGTTATTGTACAATGTGCAGGAAGGTACAAACAAACATATAATTCAAATGTTAATGAATTCATGTTGTCGTAAATAATTGTAGGTTTAGTGTCCTGATTGGTTTTCTGTCCATGTTTGACTGATGAGAGTGTGGAAAATGTGTTTAATTGAATCCCATATGGTTAAAAAGGCCTTAAAAAGTCTTAAATCTTATTTGGTAAACACTGAAGAAATCTTGGAATATTTGCTGTCTATGTAAACAAATACACATAAACAGTTGTTATTAGTTGTTTTTGGTCCTTATTTGATAGATGTAGTAGAGACAGATGGGAGAAAAGACAAATAAAGCTACCACTTCACTCAAAAACAAACATTTTGGGGTATTTAAACAAATGATCAGTGTCAGGATTCATTTCTCATGACCTCCTTTATTCTTTTAGGTGGAAGAACTCACAGACGGAGGGCCAGAGAACAGAAATGTCCTACTGTAGGAAACACTTCCTCAATCGAACAGCTCTCATTACAATAGAGGTAACATGTCACATCTACGTACATTCTCATCTAGGATTCACTCATTTCTGTCTAATCCGTCGTGCTTGACTCCGTCCTCCCCACAGGATGTGAAGCACGAGCTGATGAAGATGATGGAGCAGGCGGGTTTCTGGTCGTCTCGCTCCTCCTCGTCTCGCTTGAAGCAGCAGCAGCAGCAGACGTCCTCGCTGTCCAAGCAGCAGATCTCCATCCTGAACGCGGTGCTGACGGCGGGGCTCTACGACAGCGTGGGCCGAGTCCTGTGCACCCCGTCGGTGGACGTGCTGGAGCGAGTGGCCTGCACTGTGGAGACGCCTCAAGGAAAGGCGCAGGTCCACCCCTCGTCTGTTAACCGCAACCTGCAGACACACGGCTGGCTGCTGTACCAGGAGAAGGTATGGATGGAGGATGCTGGTGGTCTTTTTATCTGTATTTTGCACTTGTGTTTACAAATGTTGGTCCCCACAGGTGAAGTACACGAAGATCTACCTGCGAGACACCACTCTGATATCGCCTTTCCCCATGCTGCTGTTCGGAGGCGACATCGATATTCAGCACAGAGAGAGACTCATCACTCTGGACGGATGGATCCACTTCCAGGTCAGACATCACAGAGAGTTATTGTGGGATTTGGTTCAGTGTGGCATCAAAACTTTCCATGAATTCATTTGTCATCTCCTTTTCTGTCACTTCCTGTAGCAGCAGCAGGTGTGTTCTGACAAACTTTACTGTGTAGGACGATAGATTGGATCTTCTCTTGTGTCTGTTACATTTCATTTGTGATGCTCTTGAGAGTAAAAGCCTAGAAAATACCACGTCAGTCTAGTTCTTTGCACTGTCATCAAACTGATATTGAACTCTCACTATTAGTCTACAAAGCTGCAGATGGTTTAGTACTAAAATGCATTTCTGATCAGTCCAGACCTCACAAGTCTGCTTACTGTCACCAGAGTCAAAGCCAAACGTCAGATTTTATTCTCAACATATCTGGACCAAACTCCCAGAAAACTTGAGATCTGCTTTAAATCTCTTCTTTAAAGTCAGAGATTAAATCGCCGCTTTTAATTACATTTAATTTGGAACAATTTATTCCCATCTTGCGCTGCACTGTAATTTTATTCTCCAGTTGAATCTGTTTTATTCTGTTTTGACTCATTTATATCTTACATTATATTTTGCTCTTTTTAAATTGGGGTTCTATAAAGATAAACTTTCTCTACTTTCACTTTTAAAGGCTCCTGTGCGGATCGGTGTGATCTTCAAACACCTGAGGAAACTGATGGACTCTTTGCTTGAGAAGAAGTTGGAGAATCCTCGGATGAATCTGGAAGGTAAACCCAGGAAACACAGTGACAGTTTTCCCTTTAAGTCCTGGTAGTGTTCCTCCAACAACCAGTCAAGCTGCAGTTTACATTCATGTCTGTCTAGACTTGTGACCTTTTGACTATACACTTTCATCACTCCATCCATCACTTTATACTATTGGACATTTGTGTGAAGTGTTGTCACAATTGTAATTATAAATTCTTGTTTGCTGGATCTCACTGTGTCTGTCTCTCTGTAGGTGAGACGACCATCCCGGTGATTCTTGATCTGATCAAATCGGAGCATGCTGTGTAACAGCGAGCCGCCACAGGTTGCTACTGAAGAACGACCAACACCTTTTCTTCCATGATCAACTACAGCTACTATCAGCAGGCTTCTGTCTTCAGTTGTCCTGAAGGACTTCAGTACTCAAGATAAATGCCTGCAGACACACTGTCACCCAGTGGACAGATGTGGTGTCCGAAAGATGAACTGGTGCTTACCAGGAACTCTTAACTCACATTGAGGAGGACTGTATAATATGAAATGCATAAAGAGATGCTAACATTTAAAAGGACAAAACAAATAAGATAATGATGATGCCAAATGTGATGGAAATAAAGCTCTTTGTTTTTATTTGAAATGTTCATTGTGTCATGGTTGACAGTGAAAATAAAATCTTCAGTATTCTATTCATTATGTATCACATTACATTGTGTACATGAGGGGTATTGTTGGCTTTTTTTTTGACATATTTGAACAAGCAAAGGTTTGATCCTCTTTGAAACAGTACCTACAGATGAAGGTGACATACTCAAACAAATGACATTCTTCAGTTCTATAAAATCAAAATCAGTAGATCTGGACTAGGTGCTAATTATTGGAACATCCTTAGAGAGTGACAGGTTGAGCCTGACTTATTTAAACCTCTGCTATCTAGGGTCTGCTTTTCTAGTTGCTACTGAAGTGTGTGGTGTCATCATGCCAAGATTTACAGAGCTCTGTAAGGCCTTGAGGATAAAAGGTTGTGGGTGCCTGAGTCTGGCAAGGGATCTGATAAGAACAGTAATCTGAGATGAATCACTTATCTTAGTAAATCTTTACATTGTTAGGAACATGATCCACAAGTGACGTAGATTCTAATGACAGTTTGTCCAGGATCGGCCCAAGAGCAGAGTGTTTGATACAGAAAGGAGTCCCCATGAGCTATAAAGCTTTATCACTGGGTCTGCAGGTATCTGTTGTAGCTTCTGGTGTCAAAGTTCTGCCTCTACAATCAGAAGGAGACTGAACAAATTTTACCTGTACCTGAGACGCAACAGATTCAGCTGTACAATAAGAATATTAGAACAAAACTGCAATTTGACAGCAAACTTACAGGCAAAGACCAGGCTTGCTCTGAACAAATGAATCAAAGACAGAGTTGTTTGGCTTCAGTAAAAGCAGATATGTTCTGTGCTGACTTAAAAACAACTGTCCAAAAATTGAAGTTCAACCAGAGGTGGAGCCTTTAACAAGATTATGAAGCTACACACAATAGATCTCATTGCATAAAAAGAAGAAATGTAAGGTTGTGGAAGAGTACATTTAAATACCATTAAATGTTGTGAAGGGAATTGAAACAGGCAGTATATAGAAGAAAACCCTCAAACTATTTTGGAATTTTGCACTAAAGAACGTTGAAAAGTTTCAACAAGCTGATGTCAGAGATAATGGACTGCTATGGAAAATGTCAACAAGAAGTTACATCTGCTAAAGGGGACGATACCAGCTCCTGAGTGGACTTACTTTTTCAGAAGAATATCACATTTATTTATGTTTTTGTTGAATAAATGACTGAAAAAGCAAATTGTCCTTGTTTTGTTCAAGAAAGCCACCTTTATTTGTAGGCACTTTTTGGATCAAATGTTTGCTTGTTCAAATATTTAAAAAAAAAAAAAAAGAAAATTCCCATGAGATGTCCTTATTCATTCACAGTTGTACATAATAACAGGTGAGAATAGAACATTACACCATGTTAAAGATGTAATAACACAGTTTAAATTGGTGGACAAGGTTTGGACTACTGTCAACAGAAAAGTCTGAAGAACAGAAAACCAACACCAGGATCAATTAGAGAATCTTTACTTCTGGAACTTCAAATGCAGCCAAATTTTGTAGCATTTCTTTTTACAAATTGTGCATTTTTTTGTATAAATAAAGCAAAATTAAAGTGCAAAATTTTCAACAAAACTCCTCCAGTGATCATCACACATGCATCTGACTGACCGGAATGTCACCATAAAACTTGACAGTTCACTGAAGAATTAAGAAAACAGTGTGTTGCAATTTTGTAAGCGACCCTTTCCAATCACAGGATTGCTGTCAGCTGACACGCGACTTTCACAACATGGAGGAAATGAAAACAAGTAAACAGATGAAAATTTGTCCTACTTTGTCAATCTCTATTTTAAAACGCGATGATTTGGAGAAATAAATACGAGGCTGAAAGATGTAGTTATGTAGAAGAAAAGAGCCCTGCGTGACACACACAATAGTAACTACCAGGCTCTGTGTAGGAGTTCATCCAGTAATTAGACAGATGTCACTGTTTTCGGTTTGTTTAATCACTTTTATGTGTCAAGTTCAGCAAAATATGAATCAGAAATCCCCTTTGTAGCCTTTTTTAAATTTGAAAAATACATACTTTTGGATTATTTTAATATTTTTTCTCCTTAAAATAAAATAAAGACATTTCCTATACTGTTTATAACACAGTGATATGTTCAAAACGCCACACAACCTCGCCTTTAACTCCTTATGCGCACAGTTATGACACAAACTTTGCGTCTGGTATGAACTTATGTTTACAGGAGCTCACAAAGGAGGAAGTAATGACATGTAGTCGGTAAACTCGCTGTCTGTGCTGCACAACATGTACTATATGTCCTCAGGCAGATCTGTGTGCGTTAGTACTGGATAAGACTGTAGCCGGCGTCCTGCACCGTGGCGTAGACTGCATCTGCAATAGAGACAAACAGAAAAACAGAGGAGATTTTAGGCATGAAGGCACACGATCAAACAACGAAAAACACCTTCTGTTTCACACAAACGCTGAGCAGCCGCTACACTAAAACCACCTACATGAATGACACCAATCATCCCGATACATTGCAACGTTCTGCTGGGAAACTTGGGTCCTGGCACTCATGCTGATGTCACTTGGACACCTAAACATTGTCACAGGCCAAGCGCACAACCCTCATGGCAGCAGACTCCCCCAGCAGAACAACGCACACTGCAAAAACTACTCGAGGAACACGACCAAGAGCTCAAAACATTGACCCGACCCTTCTAACTCCCGAGATCTCAATCTGTCCTCTCTTCTACACATCGGCCATAATTCTTTTAGGTCTAGTGAATACATCAAGTTCATCATACACAACACTTCTACTGTTTTTGGCCTTAACTCCTTTCACTTTGCATCAGCTAATGAAACACCCTCAAACTTGCAACTGTGACTCCACTCACCACCTTCAAGCTTAAAATCCAACAGATTGTAGTTGACTGTTGCTCCTGCTGATCACGCCAGACTTCACTTGCACACACACTTATATATAAACACACATTTTCTTACACCTCATGCACATCTTTCCTCACTCACATGCATATGTTCCCATACTTCTTCTATGCTATGTTCATGTGTCTATTTGTGTCTGTAATTTACATGTACTGTATTTGAAGAGTTCATTTGCAAAAACAGATAACTCCATCTTGATAAACCTTCAGAAAACCCACTTTTCCGTCGTCTACCTAAGACAATATCAATCAAACTTGTCATTTCTACTGAGTCAAATCCACTCAACTTCAGTTTGATTAATATTATTTCTAGAAAACAACAACAAAATAAGTTTGGAGTTATCTCTTTTTGTATATGAACTCTTTGTTTGTTCCTGCTGGCGCCTCTTGGCTAGGTCATGTTTGCAAATGAGAACTGGTTCTGAAACTTTTTACCTGTTATAACAAAGGTAAAATAAAAAAAAATAAATGATCAAGCATCTGTGGAAGCCGCTGGAACAAGTCTAACCTACGGAGGGTCCATCCCACAGCCCACAGGACCCAAAGGATCCTCACCCCCAGAGGTCCCACAGCTGTTTTGGCGGCACAAGGGAAGCCCACACAACTTCAGGCAGGCGGTTTTTGTGTTGTGGCTGACTGGTGTGTTGACATCGCTGATACGGTACATTTGCAGTAATCAAAGTATGATATGGAGTAAACCTGAGATAGCCGCCTGCTTTGCCCGGTTGGTAATTCTAACTTGACTGCACACTTTACTGAAGCTGAAAAGGAAAACGTACCCTGACTGTTTTGTGTTGGCTCAGGTGGTGGCCGCCCTCTCCTGTAAATTCACCAAAACAAGGAAAATAATCAACACTGTGCCTTTAGTGCTCTATAAAAGTAGCAAAGAACAGGAATGAAATCAAAAACAGACAGATTTCTTGTTTACCTTGTGATTGGTGGAGGCTGCCGAGAGGGAGGAGCTACAATCGGAGACCTCTGACCACTGTAGAAGTTCTCATACAAAACAGCAGCTGTCAGAGAGGAAGATGGACACTGTTCACATAAACTGCAGAAACAGTGTGTGCATCATCTGATAATCACGTCCCCCCCGTTGCATTCCAGCGCCGGTTAATTGTTCATGGCACGATATTGTCACTGAATTGTTGCTGCATTCACACCTGCCGGTTTGTCGCCGGTCCGTCTGAGGTTTACAAAGTGTTCGATATCTTCCTGGATGTCACACTGCTCCAGCGACTTCCTCACTTCCTCATACAGCTTCACACACACATGCACACAAAGAGACAGAAATAATTAGGTCAGAGTCTAGTTAATATATGACTTTGGAGATAGAGTTAAAAGTTTGTCCTAGGAGGGGTTTTTTTAAACTGAGGTTAAAAATAACCTGCTTTGATTGTTTTTTTTGGCCACTTGCATACAAGAACAAGTTAGAAACACAACACTGATATACTTTAAAAAGTTGATATCGCAAATGTCTTAGCACCTGTTTTAACACCCATTCATTCATTTAGTATCGGGTTTGTGTTCATTTGATGAATGCAACTTCAATATTTACTCTCCTTTGTTTGTTTGGGTCTCTGGCAACTCCTAATGGAAACGTCCTTAGCTGCTAAATGCTCCATTATGTTCGGCTGATAATCATCTGCTGTTTGGTTCGGGGCTGATAGTGAACACTGGGTTTATCAGAGCTGTTTCACTGAAAACAGTTAGTCAGAACAGCGAGAGAGCAGTAAAGTTACAGGCTGTAAAACCATAACAATGAGCTAAAAGACAGTAAAACGACATGATGAGGCACCACTTACACAGTTTGCATGCTCATTTGATTGGTTGTTAACTTTTTCTTGCCGTTCTTTGCTCCTGTCACATTTTGACTCGCTGTCGGCTGATTTTTCTGAATTGTAAAGTTTTACAGCTCTAAAGAAACAGCATGACCATGTCTGGAAGTAGAGAAAACTCAATAATGTCTATTTTAAATAAAGAAATCACAAAAAATTAGAACATTGACGATTAAATTTTTTGATTACCTATAATGCAAAAATGTAAAATTCAGATCAACATGTGCAACATTGCTGCAAGGTGGAGCGGTGGTTAGCACCGTTGCCTTGCAGCAAGAAGGTCATTGGTTTGCGTCCCATTGAGGACATCTGGGATCTTTCTGCATGGAGTTTGCATGTGCAGCATGGGTTCTCTCCGGGTTCTCCGGCTTCCTCCCACAGTCCAAAAACATGTTGAGGTTAATTGGTGATTCTAAATTGTCAGCTGGGACAGACTCCAGCCCCCCCACGACCCTAGTGAGGATTAAGCGGTGTATAGATAATGGATGGATGTGCAACATTCTTCTAAGTGTCCATACATGTTACCAATACTGGAAAAATTGTGATGCTACACACATAAATAATTTGTTTTCCTCGCCTATCTGCGTTCTGCAAACACATCCTGCAGTTCAGCCGAAAAAGGTTCCTGAATTTTTGTGACATGACTGTTGGTTCAGCTGAGTCAGTACCAGCTGACCAGTTGTGCTGAGGAGTGCAGATTTTTCTGTTTTTCTTTTTACAGAACTTACTTTGAGCAAACAGTTCATTGTTGTCAATGAGACATGTAGAACAAACAATTATGATGAAATATCACAATTTTAAGCTTTGGTTTGGTTGAATTCCCACATGAAGTCACACATGAGTAGTTCGAGGACCATGAGAAAGTTGTAAATCCCACTATTCTTACTGTGTTTACAATTTGTGCCTTTACTAAATTGTGTACTTTGGTGATCTTTGAAAAGATAAGCTTTTAAACATACTGGTAGGTAATATAGGCTGTAGCATTTTCACAGTTCCTGTAGTTCATGTCTTTACCTCGTCACTGGTCACACACTGCTGGGACAGCTGGTTGAGGTGAGTCCACACTGTGTTTCTCAAGAAGTTAATACGTTCCACTGACTGTTTTTCAAACATCTATGACAAAAAAAGAACACAAAAGAGTGACATTAGCTCATTTACGTGACACACTGAAACTTTGGGAGTGATTCTCAGTCTCACCTCACAGGCCTTTATGTGTTCCTTCATCCAGTCGTCTCTGAGCTTCCCTAGCATGCTCACACTCTGCTGATACGACTTGTCTGCCAGTGAAACGCAGCATAAACATGATAAATAACCCACACACAATGCACCAGCCACAACAATAACTCATCCGCTGCGACATGTTATTAAATCATATCCGGTCATGCATCCATGCAATCCCACATCGGCCCCTGCCATCAACTGTAAATACTATAACGCTGCACATGAGAGGCAGAGCGGTAGATGTCAAGCATCATAAGGAAGGTACAGCTCGTTCAATATTACTGTAACTTTGATTCATAGCTGCAACAATGGCTCTGACAGGGGCAGGTCTTTTTTCTTCAGCATGTCAGACTTGTATGATGTGTCCTAAATGTGCAGAAAGTTTGAGTGGAAATCTTGCTGAATCACATCTAAGCTGGTAAAGTGCAGAGCTTTAGAAATGAATAAAAATGAATGAATACTTGTGTGGTGTCATGTGTATATGTGTAAGACCTTTCAGCCATAAATTGATGCAGAAAAGGAATGAATTGGGGCATTAAAATCCACCAGATGAAATGTACTGGGGGAGGACGCCCGGTCCCCTGATGACTATGTTTTCACCAAAGTTCAAATTGTTTTATGAGACAGTAATGAGAGGCTAAATGTAAAGCAGTGCAGACACAAGCTCTGTATCTATGAACGTAGTTCTTACCTGCTTCTTCAGCGTTCTGTTTTGCCTGCTGTGCTTTAGCGTAGAGCTGAAAAGATGATGACAAAGGTCAAGCGAGAAAAGCTCACGGAGATCAAATAACAGATAGGAAAACTGCACGAGGTTTTCTTAAACTGTCTGGTTCTTTATCTGAAACAAATGAGTTTACACACTAAACGGAAGCACAGCGATTAAAAAAGGTGCAACTGCTGATGCTAAACCACAGCTTCATGTGCACTGAATTAAGTCTACGTCAGCATGATAAGACTCCTGAAAGAGCAAACCTCTCACAACTTGGCTCACTTTTGTTACAGTTTCACAAGAGATCAGACATGATAATGGCTAAATTCTACCCACTTTTAAATGTGTTTGTCGATTAAAATAACACCACGTGTCAAATCAATAGTCATTGTTCGAAGCCACGCGTTTCCACTCTGCCCTTGGCACTGTGTTAACAGCACCTACAATGTGGACAAAAGCTTTCTTCAGGGCCAATAATATTTTTAATATTTAAATTTAAAAATTGTCTGGGGCTTTTCTTGACATTTATTCTTATTGTTATTCCGTTTACAGTAATATGAAGCAAAATAGGGTTACATCTGAGAGGCTGGAGCCAATCAGTGAACATTTCTGAGATGTTCAAATTGTTTATAAGAAACTGCTTGTGTGAAGTTTCGGGCTAAATAAAGTACATAAAATCCATTTTTAAATGTGTTTTTACAAATAGTAATTACTTTTTTATGCGTGACTGTAACATTACAATGTTTTATTGTATTTAAATTGGCTAAAAAATATAACTATTGTCACATATTTGCATTAATTTTCACATTTTTTCACAGTGTTTAAATATTAGAAAATTCAACCTGCATGTAACATATGTCTTTACAGCACCCTTGCTGCCTGCCAGATCTTTTCTGTTTTTTGTTCAGAATTCTTTTGACAGTGTTATTTCACAAGTGTGGATGTCCACTGACGCCTGTGTACCTTCTCCAGTTGCTTGGTGTTGTTGGTGTTTCGGTTCATGTTCTGATCCGCTTCTTCTTTGTCTCGGCACTTCTGATCGTACGTCTTCTTAGACTGGAGGACGTCACCGCAGTTAATATTTGATGCATCATTATAAGCTCATTGCTCATCACCGCAAAATTTGCAAAGCAAAACATCTGCCAGCAAAACAATTCAGTTTGCTGGCATCAGCTTCGTTGAGACTAATATTCATGTTCATTTTTTTATCATGCATGACAAATACTTCTTCTTTTGGCGAGGTCTGTCATGATGTTAAATGATACCCTACGGTTCACTTCCCAGACTGGTAAACACAACTTCCCCCCTCCGAAGAGGAAGAACAGGGAAAGGATAAGAATGGCGTTTTCACAATATAACTGAAACTCCTCCTCCGTGACTCACAAATGGACAACCTGCTGGTGTTGTGTTGCTTTAATACTTCTGGTTTTCATTTCACTTTAGAGGTAGCACGACATGACCTAGAAAACCAGCTTGGAACTTCGATGCCTTTAAATGTTTGACAGGTCAGTCGCTGTAACTGTGAGTCCACATGATCCTCAGCTCAGTTTATCAATAACGTATTACAAGGAAAAGTTGGGAAAGTCTTCCTTCTTTACTTACATCCATCGTCTTCTTGAACTGCGAGGCCTTCTGTTTGTGGAGAACATCCATCTGCTGTTCTATCTAAGATGAAAAGGTCATCAGTGTATTGTGCGTTGGGTCGATGCCGTCGTCACATCAGTGCATCACGGCGCTGATAGAACCACCCACCTTTTTTCTCGCTTCTTTTTGTTTTTCTCTGAAATCTTCCAGTTTTTTGGCCTCCTCCCTCATATTCTGTGCAAGAGCCAAGTGTGCTAGACTCACGTGTTCCATCTCTGGGGTGGAAAAAGAGCAGTCAAACCGTGAGCCGCGAAGAAAAATACGAACTGAAACGTCCAAGTGAGTAATAGCTGAAAGCGTCCGTTTCCAGCAGAGACGGCAAGAAACTGAAGGCAAAAGTTTTCATGGAGACAAAGCTAAATACAGACCATGAAGGGTTCAGTCAGATATAAACAGAGACGTATTAAACAGAAACCTCTCTTTGTGTCAGAGAACTAAGATTTAAAGGTGCTAATGAATAGATCCAGGGTTTCATATGGAGGCAGATGAGACCCGTTGTTCTTTATTTAGGTATCATAATGAAGTTCAAAAAGGACAGAATACTTATATAACATCAGAATACTCAAATGTGTTGCACTCACGTAATTTGAACATGTCCAGGGATCTTTTCAGTGTGCTTAAAGAAAAGAAAAGAAAACATGATTATGAAAAGATTCCACACATTAGAAAAAAATGTGCACACATATTCAGAGTTGCACGATACTAGCATCGTAGATATTGGTCGATAAAGGCTTTAAACTGAAATGTCGGCATCGGCCCACAATAAACACTAACTAGTATAAAACACCCGTGAGGCTATAAGTTTATAGTTTGCTATAGTAATGTTACATAAAAAACAAATATGGCAAATTTTACACGTAAGTCAGAGTAGTTTTCGTATTTTTTTATTTTGTATTGTATGTCTGCTCCTGCTAGACCAGGGGTCTCAAACTCGTGGCTAACTGAGGCCAATATTGTGGCCCTCTACTTGACATCAAAGTTTAGCGTTAGTGCAGCCCGCAGGTTTTTCTCACATGCACCTGCGTGAGTCACTGCCCTGGGCGTTTTCTACTTTTTTATCAGGCTCGTGACAGCAACACGAATTAGCAGCGTTACTTGAAACACGATTTGGGTGTGTCACCGAGTGGACGGAAAATATATCCTGTCATCCAGTGCAAACGCACATTTTTTGGTGTGGTTTTTTTTCTGTCTGTGTGAAAAGCTCTTCTCCACCATGAACTTTAATAAGGTCCAAAACTTACTGATGAGCACCTTCAAGCCACACTGAGGTTCTCAAATGTTTCCTCCCTCAAGCCAAATGTGGCTCAGCTGAGTAAGAGGAAGCACTGCCAGGTCTCTGGTAGCAAGGAGTAGGTAGGAGAAGCCTATGTTCTGAAGAATGTTCATGTTCTAATTGTTATTAATACAGATTGAGAAGATTCAATCAGTTGTTTTTTTTTTTTTTGGAATACTTGAAACTCTTTTTTTGTGGAACACGTGATGCAGCCCAGTCTCATCCAGACTCTATCTCCAGCAGCCCCCAGGTACGTTGACTTTGAGACCCCTGTGCTAGACAAAAAGAAAAATCCTATTCCCTCCCACACAGCCTGCTATTGGCATCAACGCCCTATTACACTTGAACTTGTTCTGTGGCACTTATCTGGATAGTTTTCTCCTGACTAGATCCTTGCTTGTGTTGTATCTGCTCTCAGATGTACGTCGCTTTGGATAAAAGCATCTGCTGAATGAAATTGTAATTGTAGTAGTGGGCCATCACCATAAAGATAGACATAAAAATATGTTAATTCACTACAGCAGAGACCTAAGATTGTCTACGATGAGTAGGAAAAAAAATACGCGAACATATCAGTATCAGCCAATAGGAACTTTGGCACAAAATCCAATATGCCGCATCACTACAGTCTGGAGTAATGTTTCTATGATGGGTTCCCTTTCTGTTTGTAACTTCCATGATGACACAAATGATGATGGACAGTCGTGCCGGTGACAGCAAGCTAGCACAAATCTAAGCAATACACAATTTAAATGTTTTTTTAAATTGCAGTTTCAAATGTTTTATGAGGAAGGAAAAGCACTCAATGCGTCTGTTACAGCTCGAGAAGGATTTCTGCAGGGAGCCAAATTCAACCCAATTTATGACCAGTCACTCAGCATAAACTGAACAAAGTATGAAAGTCGGAAGGATCAGGAGCATAATTATTAATTGTTACATCCTCCTTGCCAGTAGTTTCCTCATGGTTAAAATATTTTTATTAATGCAGCCTTGACACTATCAGATAACAGATAAATCAACCAAATGATTTAAGTTCCTCTCTGGTCATTGATTTAACCCCTAAAAACTCCCCACAGTGTATCAACGCTCCATGTTTAGAAAATTTCATCCATGTAAATAATCCATTCCTGCCTTATAATGATTGACATGTGACACCCCTGCCTTTCTCTTCACCCATTCATCCCCACGTGCTGCAGCTCAAGCACACCAGCTCACCTCAGACTCTGCTCAGATACTGTAAAACTACTTTACACTACACAATGACAACTTGTAATACTGGAGTAATTCAGCCAGACATGTTCAAGCCAAAAATAATGATAAGGAAACTCCCACACCACTTTTTGTGATGTAAGAAATCCTGGCTGTTTGAATCTGTGTTTTTGAGACGGGACACTGCAGTCCAATAGTGGAAATGCTCAGCCAGTAGTCAGTTGCTTATTTTACTCATGACATGTCTTCAAGCATTAAAAAAAAAAAACACCCCGAATGGGCATGCTAACTAGGTGGGAAAAAAAAAAGTGTCTTTAGCGAAACTATCAGCTTGCCCACAGGAGATGATAAGCTTCTGGGGTGCAGTAATTAGCTGTAGTGGCCTTTGTTGTTCGTGATGGTTGCTGATACAACACAGCAAAGTTTTCTGCTGCACACTTTTAGTTTGCACATGTATAACATCTCCCACAGTCTTTGAAATGTCTCAGTGCTGACCCAGGATGGACAACACACAAAAAAGTACAAATTAATAATAATTCAATTTAAAGCTTTTCATTACTGTCTTTTCAGGGAAACTATATTTCCCTTGAGGATTCATACCACGCAGTTTTGGTTGTTTGGTTTATGTAAACGTAGCTCATCTGCTTACAAAGAAACCACAAAGAGCATCTTTACACTCTGATGTTAACAAGTAAATGATGTTCACTGCATCACACCTCCTCCCCCTCATTGGTCTTCCTTCCTCTTCACATGTCTGAACAGTAACAAAAGCCACACTGATGATGTGAGCACTTAATGGGAACTTAACAAGTTCATCAACAAGTCAACATGAGAAGGTCAATTCTGACCATCCTAAAATACCATTATTAAGAAACTCTGAACAGTCTTATAGTGCAATAGATTGTTTCCACTTTTAACATGTGAACCACACAGTCAGAACACTGTCACGTTTGGGGGCCAGTTCTGTGCATTAAAATACGCGAGGCGTCCTGTAAATAAAGCTCTTTAAACACACAACGGCGGAAATGAGGTGGCTTACTTCATCTCATTGTGTCCACACACCTTCTTGGACAAACCGAGGAGATCTTTGGCGTATTTCTCTTCAATTGATGCCCTAAAAAACAACCAGAAAAAACCTGACTTTAGCATTCGAGCAAACATACGATGAACATAAAGACAAAAAGGGCGACCTGCAGGAGGATTTACATGGAAATGTTTTATCACTAATTTACATTTTATATCCAGTAGACAGTTCTAGAGACAGACATCTTAAATTCGCAAATGTAAATGTTGGGTAACTGCTAAGAGAAAGACAGGCTACATTTATATTTGCATACATGGTGCTATGAAGAGAGTTTATGTGTCTCCTGCAGACACACAAACTGAGAGTCATCACAGTCACTCCTTCATCCACCATCACGTTGTGGTGTACCAGTCAATGCAGGCAAAATTAACTACGTATAAAAACGTTTATTTGGAATTTGTCTCATACAGGGGGGCTGGAGTCTATCCCAGCTGACTCAGGGTGAAGGCAGGGGACACCCTGGACAGGTCACCAGTCTATCACAGGGCTACACTTAGAGACAGACAACCAAGCACACTCACATTCACACCTACGGACAATTTAGAATCACCAATTAACCTCAACATGTTTTTGGACTGTGTGGGAGGAAGCCGGAGAACCCGGAGAGAACCCACGCTGCACGGGGAGAACATGCAAACTCCACACAGAAAGATCCCAGGTGTCCTCACCGGGATGCGAACCAGCGACCTTTTAGATGCGAGGCAACAGTGCTAACCACTGCTCCACCCTGCAGTCCCCATATATATCTATATATCTATATACAGTATAGAAGATAACTGTGATACTTTAAAAATAAAAATGCTGATATCATGTTAATAACACACATGTAGTAATGGAAATAATCCAGTCTCAGTAACTCTGATGGACACTCCAACACAAATAGAGCACAGTTGTGGTTACAGACTGTCTCCCTCCACCTCCCTACATTTGCATTTTGAGTGTAATTCGCTTGCAATAAAACACACATTAAACAAAGTTAAGCCTGAATTTGACTTAGCGTTCCCTTTTTTTTCTAAAGTTTTCATAGATAGCTGGACTGTCTGATCACTATGTAGTCTCTCACATCGTAAGCATCTGATGGAAACCTGACAGTCCTGAATTCCAGCGACAGGATCATAAAGAAATATACAGTCTGTGACTTTTAGAAAAAGGTTGGCAACGAGGAAGTAACTGCCCACTCAAATTTTATTCACAATGAATGACATTTCTTATTCTTTTATGGGCTCTGACTAATAAGGAACTCCAAAGGGAAAATACACAGACTTAAATGATAAGGTGTAACAGAGGAACTTTCTGTTTGACGATTCTTTGGTGCAAATGCATGAATGTGTTTCTGCACTAACAGACTGACAGTAACTGATCCAAAGCTCCATGTTCTGTAATCACATTTATGTTTGCATGCCAAGACATTCACTGCAAGATTTCATTGGAGTTCCCCCAAAGTTATTTATAGATACACAATTATGTTTCATTTGCACTGTAAAAAACAAATATGTAAACAGTTTTACTTGTCTTTTTTTTTTGCAACGATTTATTGTATTTCTAATCATTTTCACTGTTTTGTTAAATGACTTGTAAAATCTGAGAAAAAAAAGTATCAATTTATTTGTTAATTGTAACAACAAACAAAAAAAAACAGAACAATAAATAATATCCACCTCAGAAATCTGTATTTTTACAAAAGGTCATTTGTATTTTTCAGACCGTAAACTTGTCCAATTTTACAGATATTTGCTTTTATTTGAGAGAAAGAAGTTTAACTGTTTTAAACTGTTGTTTTAAAGATGTTCCCTGATCATTTAAATTGCCGAAATTATCAAATAAAATCACAGGGGAAAAAAATATTCACATGTTGAATGATAAAAAATAATAATTAAAATAACAGGACAAAACTGTACAAGATGTCCACACTGAAAATATGTATTTTTACAAAAGGTAATTTTTTCTTTTACCACGTGTGACCATAAAATTATACTGTTCTACTGTATTTAAATCAGCTAAAAAATCATTATTTTACAGTTATTTGCTGCTATGTTCAATGAGTTGCACACTTTTTAATTGTTACAGAAGCCCACACAAATTCCATTCATCCATCATCTATACACCGCTTAATCCTCACTAGGGTCACGGGGGGCTGGAGTCTATCCCAGCTGACTCAGGGTGAAGGCAGGGGACACCCTGGACAGGTCACCAGTCTATCACAGGGCTACACTTAGAGACAGACAACCAAGCACACTCACATTCACACCTACGGACAATTTAGAATCACCAATTAACCTCAACATGTTTTTGGACTGTGTGGGAGGAACCCAGAGAACCCGGAGAGAACCCATGCTGCAAAACTCCACGCAGAAAGATCCTGAGTGTCCTCACCGTGAACCGGCGACCTTCTTGCCGTGAGGCAACGATGCTAACCACTGCCCCACCTTGCAGCCACACACAAACTCCTTGTGTGTGTAAACAAACTTGGCCAATAAAGCTTTATTCTGATTGGCCTTTTCATTTTCAGACAGCACACTTTACTTGTAGCAAGTTTCATTACTGTACTTTTCATTTCAAGAAGTGTTACTCTTGTTATTTTGCAAATTACTGTGGTTTAAAAAAAATACTTTCTATACACTAAATTAGGGAACTTTTAGTTACGTTGTTAAGTAATATCCTTCCTCGTTATTTCCATTGCATTTTACACAATATTATGCTGCCGCAATTACCATTTTGCTCAGTTGAACTGCATCATTTCTGCAGTTTGAGGAAGATGACGTTCACGTCGGCTGCCGACTGAACCTGTGCGCTTGTGTGTGAGTGTGCGAGAGAACAGTGGCAGATTAATCATTATTTGAGGAAGAAGGATTTTAAAATTCAAATGCGCACCTTTGAGCGACTCCATTATAAAATCTTTTTAAACGCGGCTCCACAGTAAATGATTTGTTATAAAAGGCTCAGAGCTTTAGTCCTGCAGGCCACAAACACTTTTTCAGTTCCTGCTCAAAGAAGAAGTAATTTCCGTTGCTCTAACATGATGCAGCTATGTGCAGATTTAGGTTAAAAGGAGGGGGGAAACAAAACTTCATTTAGATTCACTTCAAATACAAGTCATGTTAGACTTCAACACCTTTAAGTAACTACTCCTCTGTTCCTGACGAAATGTGTATATTCAGAAAGTTCTGGCATTCAGTGGGGTCTTTGCAGAGGCCCTTTCTTTCACATTTACAGATTTGTGGCTTTTGCTTGCAGACTACTTCTCATTTATGTGTTTTTGCTTGAACTCTGCAGAAAGCTGCACCACTGGAAGGCTTAGACAACAGTATTTGCTGTAAAATTTTAACTAAATGTTCTGCACATGTAATCATTGAAACACATGTCGCTCCTCCTGAGAGTTTTGACCTTAATACCCCCTAAAATCTACTTCTCTGAGCCTTTCATTATCCAGTTTACCCGCCCGCCTCCACTCCGACATAAAGGACTCCACTCCTCTCGCTGATAAACTTCTCAACTCCACACAATAATATCTGTGTTGATTCTCAGTCATCTGATAATCCGAGAAGTTTCAGTAAAAAGCAAGTGAAAGAGAAGTCAAGAACCTGAAGGAGAAGTCCAGCTGCTTTTTTTTTTACTGAAGCTCCTCGGATTCCCACAATAATGATTCGACAAAGCCAGCGGGTCATGTTCTTCCTCCTTCTTAGGTTTCTATTTCAACTCACTCTTTTCAACTTTTGTTTATTCTCCACAAGTTCCGTCTCAGTCCAGTCATAGTTACTCAACTAACGTTGTGATTCAGTGCAAACCCAAAGTATTTATGATTTTACTACACCGGGTGGTTTCTGTATAAACTTATGTTGTGCCCTTTGACCTTGCTGAAGCACTGACACGACTTGTATTCTCAGTCTTACAGTCCTTCTGATCTGTGCTCAAGCAGCATCGACACACACACACTTAGCATCCTTTCATTCTGTACGTGGATCACCTGGCTTTCATGAACTCCTCCACCTCCTTGCACGCTCTCTTGCCGTCGTTGAGATACTGAATAATGGCATCGTAGCCTCCAGTGCTGGTCAGGTCTGAGTTCTGAGATGAAAAATATTTGTTTGTACACTTTATAAATAGAAACTATCTCCTAAAATCACTTCAAAACAATTTTTCATAAACTTGCTTATGTCACTTCCTCTGCTGCCAACTAACTCTCCATCTAAACTCCTTTAACAGACATAAATGAACGCTTCAGGACATCAGGATCTTCAGCGCAGAGCGTAAATGAATGTTTTGAACTGTACACCTCCATAATTTCGGTAAGATGAGGGCAGCACCTGTAATCATGCTAACCACGGAGACTTTCTATCTCCTTCACCGACATGAGGCCATGTAATTGAATTACTGATTCAAATATACAAGAGTTAATACACTACCTATTCATTAATACATTCCTGAAGTAGTGAACAGAGAAGTATTTCTGTTTTACCGCAGAGGGAAATGCTGCACTGTTTACTCCACTGCAAGTATCTGACAGCAGTATTTACTATTTAAAATTGCAGTTTAGGATTTCAGATCCAAAACATGTGATCAGATGAGATGCACCAATTAACCACAGCAGTAAATACAACTTAAACATTAATACAGCAGTAGTGAGTGTATGTTAGTTTTTAGTTTTTGAATCTTAGTATTATATCCAAATGGGACTTTTCCTTTCCAAAAATACAATGACTATAAACAATAATAATGTTCTGATGCTCTTGAGTGTCTACTTTCTGTTCTTTTACCAATATTTCCAAACAGGACCTTTATTTTTTTATTATTTTTTTTGGCTTCTAAGTAAAGGAACTGAATGTTTTTTTCTATGATGAGGCCAAAAATAAAGTGCCCCTAATTCCCATCACAACTGAATAGAAAAGAAACTACATTTAAACAAAAAACTACTTTACAAAACGCTTTCTTTTCATAATTGTGTTGCTGCTTCTACTAAAAGTTACTACTACAACGAATAATGAATAAATAAAACACTAAATAAAAACAACTCACCCAGAAGAAATCCTTGAAATGAAGGTTTTTCATGACTGAACCGCAGCAGACAGCAGCTCAATCAGACGCTCAGCGACACTCTGTGAGGCGACACATGAGAGAGCGGCAGGAAGCCGGTCACTCACGCATGCGCAGTGATGATAGTGAAAAAAAAGGCAGCCCTAAAGATTGATTATAGATTATCAAAAGAAATTCAGTTAGTGTGCTGCCATCCCGTGACTGATGGAGGTAATTACAGGGTTTATATGCAGTTTAAATCTTAAAAATGAATAAATAAAAGCAGCCATAGAGCACAATGATGATATTTGTAATCTGTTTTTAGTCCAGGTTTGGAATTAATTACAACAATAAAAGATGTAATAAAAGATCCAATAATATTTTCAGTATGTAAAATAATAATGTGAAAAGTAATAAGTAATTAAGTCTGGTAAATATTAAATAGTAAAAGAAGTAGTACAGTCATGGAGTAACTCAATATCCACTGGTGAAGAGGCAAAGTATTACTGTATGTATTTGAATAAATGTTAGAATTTATATTAATATATGGGATATTAAGGTTCCAGCCCCCTGCGACCCTACTGAGGATTAAGCGGTGTATGGATAATGGATGGATGGATATATGGGATATATTATAAAACAATACATGATGAACTTGTAGTCAATTCTAACCTTTTTTCAGCATACCTTAAGTCTGAATTAAATAAGCCTGAGTTTATACCTTACATCTTTAAAAAATAAATAAATTAAAAAAAAACTTATTTAATGTGGGGATCAATCATTGTCATTAATCTGATTACTTACTTGAATAACAAGTTGGTATATTAACGCCAGAAAAAAAAGTGTAAAATGCTTATCTTTGCTTATTTTGTCCAACCACTCATCTTAAACCTAAAGTAAATTCAGCTGCTAAATATTCTTCTGTTGATCGTCTCTTTAATAAATCCATTAGCTTCTTTCGCTTTAGCTGATCTGTTTCAGAAATGCAGCTCCTTGAGTGTAACTGAGACGTTAACAAGATGCAGAAGTGAAGCTCAGAGGCGGAAAGAACTTAAATACTTTTACCAAAGTGCAGCACTTATGTACAAACTTGAGTTGCCTCCTTATACTTCACCTCCTGTACAGCAGAGGGACATGTTGCTCCATATTTATCTGACAGCTGTTGGTTCACTCACACATTCACACATGCAAAACATACGAGCTAGTAAAATATAAACTTTTGTTATTAGAAATATAGTCAGAGCTGAAAGTAATCAATTAATCAACTAAAAAAAACAGTCAAAACACTCAAATGATTGACAGAGAATCCATTTACAAGCGTTCCAGTTTGATAAAATGAGCAGCGGGAAGGTTTCACTTTGAACTCTGACAAACCAAACAGTGAATCATACAGTCGAGTTAATCATCTGCAGGTGAATTTATAATGAAAAAAATGAGCTGCAGCCTGTCGGTATAAAAAAAAGAAAACTCCATGTACACATGAATGCTTTAATAATAACAATGTAATGATATAATACATAATAAATAAAAGGCAGCAAGATGCATCACTGTTTGCAGATTGTACTTGAATATTCTTATTAAAGTAACATTTTAAAGGCACCATATTGATTTGTAATAGAGCGTTTTAACAGCTGGTAGGAATAAATAAATCACTCCAATAGAGTTTCACTTCCTTTGGTATCAGAATGTGTCAGTTTAGACCGTTTTCATATGTTAAAGGTGTAACTCCTGGTATTTCAAATCTACTGTATTTCTGTCGGTAGCAACTCATTTAAGGCCTTGATTCACAAATCTGATTATTAACGCCACATCATGTTTACTCTTTATTTTATCGGTTTTCTAATCGTGGTACATTCACTGTTTATACAATTAAAGAACGGAGCCCAAACTTTTTGTTTAACCAATCTGCCCGCTCCCAGTATGCAAATATGGAGTTCAATCCAACTTGTCAAACCCAACTACGCTGTTAATGCTTTATAATTTACTTAATATCTCTACAGACACACACACACCTTGGTTATTGTTCCTGTCCAGGGTGTGGTGGAGCAGTTGAGGTAATTTATTTTCAGAAGCGCCTTTCACAACAACATCAACTTTGTGGTACAAAATATGACACGACTAAACACTGTGAAGGTACACAGACTGTGATAAGCACGTTCACAACACATTTACACTGAAAACAGTCTCTCTCTGGACAAACTATCTTCATGGTGCAGCGATAAAAGACAACCTGAGACATTTTACAGTGCTGTTATCTGTTAGCAGCAACACCCTCTGCAAACATGTGCCCACTGTAAATGAACTGTGTGAAATTATTAGCAGTGGAAAACACTTATTTACTCTATTTGAGAATATTTATTTAAAAGTATAGTTATATAGGTATATTTATCTACCAGCTTTAGTTGCTAGTTGCTTTAGAGATCACCTTATAGTGACGATTCTAATGGAGACATTTTTCCCTTCTCACATTGTTTTATTAAACGGCATAACATGGAACCATTTCACATTAAAATGTCTAAAAATGCCCAGTGTTATTCATTTTGTTAACCTGCAGACTTACATTAACACAAAAGTTTACAACCGTGTCCAAATCTGGAGTTTCATTTTCTGTAAGTGGGCGTTTTAATTTGGTTACCCGACACCGACGTCACATCCTGTAACCTGAAATGCACTAAACACATGATGACACGTCAGAGAATGCGGGCAAAAGAAGAAGTCATCAGACGAGCCAGCCACTCTCTAGTTTGTTTGTTTTTGGTTTTATTTTCTATCCACCGTATTGCTCAGTCATGATGAATCACAGGTACCTGAGTGTGAGGGTTGTAATCATCCATGTGCTGAGCTGTTCCATGACCCAATTCCTGTCATGACTTTGACAACAGTACGAGTCTGAATGATCTGCAAAAAAAAAATCATATTGCAATTATTTTCACGGGTATTGTAATGTTCATTCTTTTACACTAAAACAAATATGGAAATGGTACTGAGATTTTGATGCAGAGTGTCCCAAACACACTGTTCTCTTATGCAAGGTAGGGCAGTTGTTGGCACTGTTACCTCACAGCAAGAAGGTCGCCAGTTCGCGTCCCGCTGAGGACACCCGGGATCTTTCTGCGTGGAGTTTGCATGTTCTCCCCGTGCAGCGTGGGTTCTCTCCGGGTTCTCTGGCTTCCTCCCACAGTCCAAAAACATGTTGAGGTTAATTGGTGATTCTAAATTGTCTGTAGGTGTGAATGTGAGTGTGCTTGGTTGTCTGTCTCTAAGTGTAGCCCTGTGATAGACTGGTGACCTGTCCAGGGTGTCCCCTGCCTTCACCCTGAGTCAACTGGGATAGACTCCAGCCCCCTGTGACCCTGGCGAGGATTACGCAGTGTATAGATAATAGATGGATGGATGGATGTTCATTGGGGTCATTCCACTTCAAACCATCAAACCAACAATTTTTACCTGACCACATCTTATTGCCAGTGTTTTTACAGTATAAAATATAGATATATTTACCTAAATTTAAGAAATTTAGCTGGATGTACTAAATACTTGTCAAGATAGTTAGAAGTTTATATATATAAGAAGTTTTTTATATATTTGCCTGTCAACCCAATTTCAGCCTATTTTGTCACATATTGAAATTTGAGGCCATCTTTCATCTCAAGAACTGTTACAAAAAAAATCCCCCCCAAAAAATCCCTTTAACGTCTCATCGTTCCATTGATTCAGAAGATACAATATTGGACCAGTGGAGCAAATAGTCTGTGGTTATGAGTGAGTTGAAATAACTAAAAATGAAGCTGTCATGAAAAGTTCCAACTTTGACGACATATTAGCCAAAAAATGGAAGTCAACTAGTAGTGTTTTCTGAATCATAAGTGGTTGGATAAAATAATAATACAAGACAAAAAAACACAAAAAAACTGAATCCCTTTTAATGTTGAATACTTGGTGACACAAATGAAAAGGAAGTTTCATAACTGCCTATGCAGGAAGGACAAGTTGCACCACTACAACTAAACTATTTGTAGGTCGCCTCAGGAAAGCAGAAGTGAGTTCCAGAGTTTCAAAATGGTTCTCTAAATATGTGTAAGTTGTTCCAAAAAAATAAAATAAAAATAGGTTTACATTTTTAATTTTCGAACCCCACTTTGTAGATTCAAGTTAAGTCATGTCGTTCTGTATAATTTCTTTGGTAATTATCACTGCCTTAGGGCCTCAGGATGACATCAGCATAATGTGACCATGACCAAATACATAGATGTGGGAGTATAGTGGAAGTTTCCTGGGTGGAAATGTTCATGCCTTGACATATATTTAATGCTAATCTGATGTACTTATGTGAGAAAGACTTTAGTGGTAAATATATTCTCATGATGAACAGTTTGAAACGCTTTCTTGCTTTGTGTTCCATTCAGAATAAACGTGGCCTTCAAGACCAATATCACTGTTAAACTGTGAGAACATGTATATTTTTTTCCTTCAAGCATCTCCTTCAATAATTATATGAATTTAGTAAGTATAAAAGATAACAGTTCACTCTGTTTGTCCAGGCTACAAAGTGGTGTCCAAAGATAAAAGAGGTCCATATTAAAAAACATTATTTTGTTAGAAACTTGTGAAATATTCTAGATTCTGAATCAATGACATGATGGGATATAAGAGTGAAAATATCTGGCTTTAAACGGTAATAGTTCCTGAGATATTGTCATCCAAACATACACTTGTGAAGAGCTTGTATATCATGGAAGGCTTGAGTTTATAATGACTCCTATATCTCTGGGTTTTCTAAGCTGGATGTATTGAAACAAATGTGTCTTTGTCACACACAAAATAAAACAACTATGCATTTAATTGGTCATTAATATACATACAGCAATGTTAATATTTGGTTAAACAACCCTTGGTTATTCTGACCTCAACTAGGCTCTTTTGGTGGCCATCTACAGTTACCTGGTTGTATCTTTGATCACTTCTCTTGACAAAATGACGACAGTTAGACTACGTTTATTGGCTCTCTGACACAAAATTGTTTCTTCAATACAGTCCACAGATTTTCGACCAGGTTTAAATCTGGACTTTGGGAAGGCCAGTTTAAAACTTTACTTCTAGCCTAATAAAGTCATTTTGTTGATGTGTGTTTGGGGTCATTGGAGGTAATTCTTCTTCTTGATTATTCCATTTACTTTGTGTAAAGCATCAGTTCTACTGGCACTAAACCGGCCCTATAGAGCATAACACTGCCACCACCATGCGTGATGGTAGGTTTGGTGTTCTTGGGGTTAAAGGCCTCACCTTCTCAGATCAGAACATATTTCTGATCACTGTGGCCAAAAAACGACATTTCTGTTTCATCTGATCATGTGATCAGCAGAAGCTCCAGTCAGATTTTATGGTGTCACTTCCTTCTTGCACAGCAGCCTCATAGCTCATGTTGGCGTAAAACACTATGAACATCCGTCTTCTAATACATAGCAGATCTGCTTTTTGGTGGTTCTTGGTTGACTCCTGACCATCCTGACCAATTGTCTTTCAGCAGCAAGTAATAGTGTTTTCTTCCCCACTGTGGTAGTGAAACAACTGTACGATGCACTTTATCCTCACAAACAATGGTGTGCGTAGACAATTGTGGAAACTGTGGCTGCTTTGAAGTGGCTCCAAGTGACATTCTTGACTTGTTTACGTCAGTGATTTGTTTTTTCTGCTCATTGCCGGGCCTCTCAGACTGTTTGTGACTGAATCTAATGAGGATATCAAATGTGCCCTATTTAAATACTCTCAGAGGAGTCAGCAGCTGGAGTCAGGTTCATTCATTCACAAAATGTAAAGGCCATGCCACTAAGAAAATCTGATTAACACAGCTGTTGACAGTTTTGTGTGTGTGTGTGTGTGAAAAAGAAGCATGTTTGATTCTATTAGACAGATCAGCAGCGGTGGTGAAGACAATTTTTTTCAGTTTTGCCAAAATTCCACATTCACAAAAGTGACACAAACAAAAACATAATTGTGTTTATGGAGGAATTGGAGCAATACATTTCAACAATGTCTTCCTCACAGAACAAGGAAGTTTTGTTTTTTTTAAGCTTTAATAGCTCTCAAGGTTTTAAGTGAATGTACTGCCCTGCTCTCACTTAGTCCTGATTGCTTTTTAGGTTGTTTTTGCCGTCCTTTTCTGTTTACTAGGGGTCCACTAACTAGGGGTCGGGTTACAGTGGCAGCAGCTAAGACGGTCATTCCAGACGTCACTCTCCCCAGCAACATTTTTCAGTTCCTCTTGGGGGATCCCCAAGGCGTTCCGAGGCCAGATGAGATACATAATCCCTTCACAGAGTTCAAGCTCTACTCTGGTATCTCCAGCCAGTCGGACATACCTGGAAAACCTCCAAAAGTAAGAGGCACCCAAATCAGATGCCTGAAGTTCCTCACCCCGACTCTACATAAAGCTTCCTACGGATGTCAAAGCTCCTCCCTCTGACTCTAAGGAGGTTTGAACTGGATGGACTGGGAAATAGAAGGTGTTGTCTTCCATCTCAGCAGCCTCTTCACCACAGCGGTCTGGTAGAACGTCCACATCGCTGCTGACACAGCACATATTTTGTAATAAAGATTTTAAAAAAGAAAAAAAAAGAAAAACGACAAGACCTCCCATGATCCTTTGCGTCTTTACGATGTCATTAAACAGTGTCTTTTGTTATCTCCAGGCAGCAGAAATCGCATACTGTGTATTTAGACAATGAAAAGTGAAGCCTTAAGAGAACTTAGTAATTTTCTTGAATTAAAAAAGGAAATTTAAAAAGCATATGTGACTCTTTACTCTATCATTTGTCATCTCATAACTGCTCAGATTTAAAGATTTGAAGGAGTTTGACCCCGAGGCTGTAAACTATTCGACTAAAACACGGAGCTGTAGATAAAACTAACTCCACTCAACCAGGTGCAGCAGTAAAACGCTGCTCACACATTGTGCCGTGAGTCTTAACAAACTTACAGTGTCAAACACATCAGATATTTATGTGATCTGAATGTCAACACATTTCCTTCAGCTTTTAATGAATTAGTTATACGTCTTTATTTCTTCTTCTCTTTACATCAAAAGGTTCACACAGCCACAATTTAATATTTTACTGATTCTCAATGACATATTCTCTTTCATCCGAGTGAAGTAATCTTCTGCAATGCAGCCAGCAGCGGTCAGATCACCTGATTGCACACGACTGTATTTTCCTCGGTACTTCCCCATTTCTGCTAAACAGACATTCGCTGCATCTGTTCTGCAGAAACGGAGGCATGTCTTGGCATGTTTATGACGCCCGTGCTGCACAGTGTTGAGACTTCACACAGTTTTTCAAAAAGTACCAGGCATTTGATGTAAATGGAGCACACATGTTCACGTTTGACATTTAAGTCAGCGTCTTAATGTGCGTAGTTTAATTCGAGGTGGTTTTAGTTGAATGAAATGACTCATTGCTTGTGCTCAGTGGAGAGCAAGATGTTTGTTAGTGCAATGCTTTGATGCAACAATAATCACATGACAAGTTGGTTGTTTTGAGTATTTTTCTGTTTATATAATGCATGAAATGACATTAGTGCTCTGTACATTCTGAGAAACAGACATTGTGATTAAATATCTTATCGCTACTATCAGGCCATTAGGACACAAAACAGGCTTGTTGTTGTTCATTCAAAGTGCCCTCTGGGAAAGGAAAATAAGAGTTTATGGCGGAATTATGTAAGCGTCACTTCGAACTGCGTGGCCTGTTGTGATGAAACGTTTTCCATGTGACGCGCTTGCAGCTACTTCAGATGTTGTTTTACTTTCGATCTTGATATGTCATCAGATTTAATGTTTGTTAGTCATCTAGTAGCTTTCAACATCAGTGTCTGGCACAGACAACACCAGTGTGTGGTCAAGTAAGGGTTTCAAAAGGTGTATGTTTATGTGGCGCTGCTGATTAAAGAGTCTAGAACAATCTTGTAAACGAACCTAAGAGAAGGAGGAACTTGGCAGTGACTGACGGGGATTCCTCGCTGTGTGCTTACGTCACGCCCAGTATTTAAGCCTGACTGCTATCAATAGTGCAAACCTGTTCCTTCTTGTCAAGCTACAACTACGGAGCTTTATAAGCACTGAGAGGGAAGCAAAAAGCTGAACTTGTGAAGTTTTCGCGTCGAAGAGACCAACGTCGCTGTAAGAAATGGCTGCCAATGGTGAGTATCTGAACAGATTTCATTGAATTACTTTTATTTAAGCTCCATCTACATCATAATTTTAAGTGTACCTAACCTGTTTTATCCAAATTTTGCCCTCAGATCTCACTGCTGCAATCGAGCTCTGCGCTCGTGAGCTCCGCCAAGCTGGAGACGAACTCTACTGGAGATACAAGCTCCTGGAAATACTGATCAAGAACTACAAGACTGTCGCCAAAATAAGATGAGATGTCCGACCACATCGAGAGGGATCGGATGTTTTAAAACTGGAAGGCGGTGAGCCAAAGCAGAAGAGTCTTGGATATAGACTCATCCCGGATGGGAATATGGCGGCTCTCAAGTGGGATGTACATACACTTGTGGAACTTGTGGAAACACCTTGCTGGAGTCCCTGGATAGGGACTGGCAGTGGACTTGCTTGAACACCGGAGCTTTACGGAGAAATAAAACATGGCGGATGGTGTTGCTCCACTGATTCAGACCGGCGGCTGAGTGGACCAAAGAGGAACATCAGAATGGAAGTCGTCTGCTCCAGATGCTGATAGTCACATGTACATACTGTATGTGGACATTAATGCACATTGTACTCTGTTATAAGGCTGTCACGTTCATGTTAACTGAAGATTTAGAGGACATGTGAAGCGCTTGTGAATCTGCTCAAGACTCTTTGAAGAGTAGCTGTTTAATGGGAGCGCTTAATGGGTTGCTAATAAACGATGCATATTCAGTCAACTCAGTATGTGGTCATATGTATTGTCTGTAATGGTTATGATAGAAAAGAACTCATTCAAATATATAAAAGTATACAAAATATATATATAAAAGTATATAAAAGTATATAAAAAAGCTCTAATATGTCAGCAACATGAAACCTGGCCTTATTCAATGCTCAGATTTCTGTTCTAGAAGTTAATGTAGCACATTAGCACATTTTCAATTAGATAAAACATCATTTGCATGTTTAAAAATACAATTTTTGAAAATTTGTACTACAAAAAATAATTGTCGGAATGAAAGTAATCAGCTGTGGAAGTTTCATGTTGATATCTGTCAGTGGATTTTACCCTAAAGTTCATTTTAAACTGCTGATGAACAGCATCCACTACAGCGGACAGTCGAGTATCTCATCAAAATATTGAAAAAAAATCCAATTCAACATGTTTCACGTCTAAATTATCATATATTCCGCTAATATGTCGACATACTTTAGTTTTTAAGCTAAATAGCTTAAAAAGTTTTAGCCATGACCACAGCATTGACCTCCACAGAGTTGGAAAGGAGCCCCACTTGAAATATCACTTTTAATGGCAAACACAACATTAGTCAACACAGATTCACAGGAGTTTGGTGGATAAATAAACAATACTACAAGATTATGTTGTTAGCTCCTAAACATGTCAGTTTCATTTCTGAGAAATCTTCTGTCGATTCAGTACGTCTGATGGCAGTATAGTGAGAGAAGTTCTGACAGAAATACTTCAGGAAGTACGAAGAGCAACAAAAAAACACACAAGATGGAGGTTGAATGGATTAAAAACACAAAACCATTACCCTGCAAACTGGGATTCATGTAAAACAAGTCATTGCTGAGTAATTCTTTAAGTTTAATGAACTTGGCCTTTAGTATATTGAACAGTCTCAACATTTAAGTTAAATTTACTCAAGTTTACCTGACACACAGTACTTCTTTTCAAATTAATTTCCTTATTTTTTAAGTAAATTCCACTTGTCCATGCTCATAGTGTGAGCTTTATTATTGTAGGTCATCAGTAATTTGTTGCATTGTTTTTTCTTGTCACCTGTAACTCGACTATTGTCTGTCTTAGTTTCGGGTGGATTATGTTTTTAGCCGTTAATGTAGCCTTCAATGAGTAATCTTTAGCAGAAATAAGAAACAGGTCAATGAGATGTTTGTTCTGAGCCCACACACCCAAAGTCAACACACCTTTTCCCTGCAAACAATTTGACTCACCGTAGCAGGAAATGCACAGGTGGAACAGCCAACATTAACAATAGATTTGTTTTACCAAGAAGCTCAAGAAGTCTTTCCAGTGAGCCAACATGAACAACAGCTAACCCAGAACTGAGCTCAGTTTAATGGAACGCAGCAATCGTCAATGTGAATACTTTCACCTGAGCTTTTCCTGCTTTGATGTGTCAAAATGCCTTCTGGGAAAAGAGTGGTTTGAGCGGTTTATTACATGGTGCACAGCCCCATCTAGAGCCATAAAAGCTCTTACTCATGACTTGTACACAGACTTACTGGACATTATCATTGAAGGCATACTGTAGGAAATAGTATTTTGCTCTGGGAGGGACGAGAAGACTGATACAATTCCCATAATTGAGACAAAGATGGAGCCAGCACACTGCTAGCTTAGCCCAACATAAAGACTGGAACTAAAGCGTTAGCATGCACCGCTAAAGCCCGCTAACAAACATGTTATATCTTGTTTAATCAGTAAAGAAATTTTAAGTCTGTATGGGGAATAATGTGGCAGCTTATTTCCTGGTTGGGAACACAAACGTCCCGTCCTGTAACATCCAATGATGGCATGGCAGCTGCTAATGCTAAAAACCCAGCACATAACCCCACCTTTGCTTGTAAAACTACAGATTTCCACTTGTAAACTATCCTAAAAATCAAACAAATAGGTTTTACAACATTAATTAGTGAGTTTTAGAGGGACTGATGTGTTTTTTTTAACCCCTTGGACAGAGCTACGCTAATAGTTTTCCCTTTTTCCGGTCTTTATGCTAAGCTAAGCTAAGCTAAGCTAGGCTGCTGGCTGTAGCCTCTTATTTAGCATTCAGACATGACATGATATTGATATTTTCATATTTTCATCTCTGCAAGAAAATGAATAAACATATGTACCAAAATGTTTAATTATTTAATTAATATGGAAGTTATTTCTCTAATTATTAACTGCGGAGGCTAACATGTTACAAATATAACCATCACCATTTCCAAGATCTCAAGATAAATCCTAAAATTGTTTAACAATGAAATAATTATACAAATAAAGAAAGAAAAAAAACGCACTCAATTTAGAATAACATAAAAAGCAGCAAATGCCTCACATTTCAAATGAAACACCAAGTTTGGCATTGTTTGCTTGATAAATTATTTACACAATCCAATATCAAAATAGTCATTAATCTTCTGTAAACGGATTATTCTACTAATTGTTGTCAATAACTAGATACATGTGGGGAGAAAAAAAAAAGTTCCTGAAGTCATTTCACACATCTAGATGAAGGAGAACACACTGGTGACACACTGACGGAAATCAAACCCATAAACATACACAAAACGTGAAATAAAAACAGCAGCAGAACATTGTAAATTCAGGCACTTAAAGGATCCTTACTTTATTTTGTGTGGTAATACAAAAAGCATACAGAATTATAGAGGATAGGAGAGAAGATCCCTTTCATTGAATTCCATTAGATCGTACACATAAAATGACTAATAATTACATACAAGCCTTTTCTCTGTAGCTACATCCACAAGTACCCCAGCCTTCCACCAGTAGCATGCATGGTCTCGTTGCTGTAAACGCATCTCAACAGTTCTTCATACCCATTGGTATTTCGCAGGTTGAAGAAGAAGAAGGAAAAAAAAAAAAAAAACAAAAAGACAGAACTATACTGTTAAGTATACCATCAAGCGATGTAACTTCATCCACAGATCACTCCCATCACACCAGGATGACGCTTCTAAACGTGATTTTAAACGTTTTCCCCAGAGCTGCACTGAAGCACGTTGGGAGTTAGTTGTTGTTCCAAAAGGACTGCGAGTTGTTTTAATGATTCAGTCTTTGACAAGGATTAATCTGGGCCCCCCCCTCCCCAAGTAACCCCTCCCATCATCTGCATGTATAAAACAATACAACGAGCCAACGTGGGCCTATTAGACAGAAATAACATCTAATTATGACATGACATACAAACTGAGAGATACATCATATTGCAGGAGGGAAAAGGATCAGCTCACCCAAATCACACCAAACATTTCCTCACTTACCTCTAGTGGTAACTAGTGGTATAATCCGCCCCACATGCAGGTTTTTATGGGTATGTTTTCTTTAGTGGAAGGAAAATGGGTTTTACTGTCAGGCTTGTGGTTTAGTCACAGGGATGCTCCTGCCTCGACAATGATTAGGAGGATTTTTACCCTCACTGTATTCAGACAGAGACAAATATCTCAAAGTCTATGACTGTCTGCATGACTAGATACCACTACTGTTAAGTGAGAAAATATGTTTAATATATATATATATATGTATATAAATTTGGGTGAATCAACCCTTTAACATTGACTCAACTGAAGCTAGCCCACTTGGCTAACAATTCCCAGTCTATTAGTATAAGCAGCCACTAATAATCATTGTAAAGTTTGTGTAGCATGTTCAAAGATCCAAATCTGAACCTGTTCTTCCTGCATCATCAGATTCAGTACTTAAAAAAAAAAAAAGTAGCAGAAGCATTGTATTTATTTTTTTCAGATGTGCAGAGGAATGATTTTAGAGTATGCACATAGCTCAAAAGCTGTAGACAAAATAAGTGAGATCTCTTTTTTTTTTCCTTTTACCATAGTTGCTAAGGTTCATAATTTTCAATCTCTTCTTCACAAGTGGGTTCCTCAACCCATGAAAAATACCTATAAATACTATCCTACCTACAGGGCTATTGACTGTGCAAAATAGCTGATAAATGGCAGGCTACTCCAAGCATCGACTAGCAACATAAATAGAAATGGAAGACTAGCCGCATTCTAGAAACTCAGAATGGACCCTCGCAAGAACAGAAAAAGTAATAAAAGAAATTCGTCAGACTTGAGGTTTATTTCTTCATTTAAGCCAAATTCTATGAGGGCCAAATTACCCACCGCACACCTACTGATGCAGGAACTCGAGTGTTGATCCTCTGTGTCCTCCTCAAAAATACAATGAGGAAGAAAAGAGGATGGAAAATTTAAAGAGAAAAATCAGGTAAACATTCAGGTAGTCTGTTCTAACAGTAACCCTAAGCATGTACTCCCAACACAAGTGGGAATGATCAGGTGGAAGCAGGAGACCTGCGCAAAGAGTGCAAAGAGCATCAATAGCCGTGTGTTTTGCTATCCGTTATCCTTTGCATAAGCATGTGGGAGAGTGTGGAGACCAGCTTTCAGATTCTGGCCAGATCTTGAAGTGATGTAGAGATGATGTTTCCGTGGTGTAGAAGGGGAAACTTGGCCTCAGTCAGTATCTTCATATCCACCATGACTACTGTGGCTGCCACCTGCTGTGTTGTCTGATGTCATCTAACGTTAACAGAACCCCCATCTGTTCGTAGTGTTGATGTTTTTAAGTAAATCCAGCTTTGCGGCGGCAGATTATTTACCTCAGCCAGTCGTTTTTCATTTAGAGACCGTTCCATCCAGCCAACTGTTACTTGGTGAAGCCCACCACCGATCAGATTGCACTGTGATAATATGGACAACCACCAAAATGTCATCCGGAATAGATGTATAAACAGGCTCCCCAACCAAAATAGATTGTCTCATTAACGTGAAGTCTGTCTTATTACGTGAAGTCCTTCAACCAATTAAATAACACAGACCATAGCCAGATCTTTCAGTCCAACAAATCAGGTGTTTTCATTTAGTAAATGCGGCCACCACGGCCCACATGAGTTCGTTGGCGTTGGGCTTTGTGCTCTCTTTCTCGGGCTCCAGCTCTAGCAGAGTGTGGACTCTCTTCATGCCCAGGTCGTACTGGTCGTCTTGGAGTGGGGCGAAGGCGTTCTCAAGGACGTCGGAGGAGTGAGCCAGAAGAATCAGGGCCAGAACTCGCTTGTCCATGCGGTGGGGATCATTGACCCACTTCTCCAAAACCGAGTCCTGGACTTTCTTGACAAGGCGCTGCAGGCAACAACACGAAGATGTGTTTTACCGATGCATCACATTTGAACATTACACACATTCAACCAGGTGAAAGGTCGAATTCAGAAAATACAAATAGTATTAGCTTCACAATGTGTTCATTAAATGAGAGTTAAAGGAGAAGAGCGACACGAATCACATTTAACACAGTGAAAGGTTTAGCATAAAGACTTGAAAAAGAGGAAACCACTACCCTGGCTCTGTTCAAAGGTAAAAATACACACTAACCACAAGCAGCAGCTCTACAGCGTACTATCACGTCGCTCATCATTTCAGAGTAATTGTGTTGTAATGTGTTGCTTTAAGCTCTCAGACTTTAGAACAAAGTCTTGGCTTTAGCTTCATGTTTAGCAATATCTTGAACCTGCAGGAGTGAGACAGCAGTTTTTACCCCTGAAGAAAAAAACTCCACTGTTGTTAATTAGCATAAATTGCTAGAGGATTTTTTTTCCTCTCTTTCTTTCAACTTATATATTAAAATGAGGACAGTAGCCACTACATGAGGCACACGTCTAAAAATAATCACCAGTAATTACTCGTTTGCAACATTATTATGCTTTCTTGTAACGCCAGATCAAAAGGAAGGCTTCGTTTGAACTACGAGAAAATGAAAATATCATCATGTAGCTTTAATGTTGTAACATAGAACAAATAACATCCTGATACCCAGGAACAAAAAAATTCTCTTTTCTGATCCACTGATGTGTTTAAGTCCTTCCTTTTCACCATCAATAATAAACATAATGTTATTTTACTGTTAATAGTTTCACATCATTAACAATAAAGAAAAGGAAATCAGATTTCTTTGCTAGCAGGCTGAACAGAGGACAGAGAAACAAAATAAACATGCATGTTTTTTGGAGTAATACTGAAGAGTAAGGACCACACCAGTATTTAAATGGGCCAAAGTGGCATCTGCGGCTAAATTTATATGCCATTTAAAGAACTGTAGCTAAGCAGCTCTTTTGCTTTGGCAGAGACATGAGATAAAATAAATATAAACTTCCCCTCATTTGGATTGCGATTTTTATCAAAAGAGAGCACAGGGGATGTAATTTGTAGAGCTGTATGTCAGTCGTACTTTAATGAGGTCTGCTAAAAGATAAACTGTGCAAATATAAGACAATGAGGATGTGACTATTTCTCTCATAAAAGATGATCACCTGTGTGCAGACTAAACAAAATTGACAGGGATGCACGATATATCAGCAACCACATCGGTATCGGCTGATATTGGTGTTTTTTCCCGCATATCGGTAAAGGTCCGATGAACAAATTTACAATTTCATTCAGCAGACGCTTTTATCCAAAGCGACGTACATCTGAGAGCAGATACAACACAAGCAAGGATCTAGTCAGGAGACAACAATCTGGATCAGTGCCATAGAACAAGTGTGATAGGGCGTCGATGCCAACAGCAGGCTGTGTGGGGGTTAATAGGATTTGATTGTGTGTTTGTTTTCGGGCAGTCAAGTACAAAGGTGTTCAGTGAAGAGCTGGTCTTTAGTCTTTTCTTAAAGACTGAGAGTGAGTCAGCAGATTGAACAGAGTTTGGTAACTCGTTCCATCACCGCGGAACCACAGAGGAGAAGAGTCTAGCTATCGACCTCGGGCCCGGTTGTGATAGTTGTATCAGGAAGGAGTGTAGATCTGAATGAGAGAGTTCAGGTAGGAGGGAGCTGTTCTCGTTGTGGTTTTGTAAGCAAGTGTCAAGGTTTTGAATTTGATGCGGGCAGCAGCTGGAAGCCAGTGAAGCGATCGTCAATATGAAAAAATATGTTTAAATATGTTTTATTTTTGTAGCGTAGTGAAGAAGACTATGTGGTCTAATTTGGGCTTCTTTTCAATAGTTGTCACGTTCTCACAGTCCTTACTTCTACTCATTTTTCGATGTGAACAAAAACTGAGTATCGACATTAGTAGCATCGGTTATCAGCGCTATCAGAAATCTTAATATCGGATATCGTATCGGCCAGAAACTTTAATATCGTGCATCACTAAAAAAAAATGACCGTGGCGCCGTTAAGTATTAACTTCCAAGTCACAGGGTTCACGAAAAACCGGCTGAGCTATTTTAACTCCAATACTTGCAAAGCTTGACTGACTTGATTTTGCAACAAAGATAAAGTGAACATTCCTGCTCCATACCTGTTTAATGGTGCTGTTGGTGAGCGGATGTGTGGTCATGTCAAAAAGCAAGAAGTTCTGTTTCTCTGTAGTGAGAACTCCTTTCTCCACCAGGTTTTTTGCCAGACGTTCTCTGACATTTCTCAGCTGGTAGTGCAGCTTGAGGGGATTCCAGGTCTCTCCTGCAAGAAAACGTTTTAGGCATAATTAAATAATGCAGTGTACATCAATGTCATGTCATAACTTCCCCTTTTTGAGTTGAAAGAAGAGTATAATAGATCATTTCAAAGCTGCTTTTGGTGCTGCTGTGTTGTTAAAGACAATGCTCATAAACTATAACATTACAAATGACTGTCAACTTTTACCTTTCGATGCAATAGTACTCGCAAATCTGATGGTATACAACAGCAACAACAGCACAAACTATTAAAATAAAAACATCCAGTGACCAAAAGAGAGGCGTACTACGAAGCAAGTTTGACATAGCCAGGCTTTCTTTGTTTGAACTGGTTTAGTTTCACATAATAAAGAATAATCTGGCTCTGAAACGCTCTGGTGAAGGAAGCGGCTTCGGTGTTCATTCAAAACAGTAACAGCACTGAGATTAAAGTGGATTATACACCAAAGAAGCTAGCAGGGCTGCCTGAGAGCCTGATCCAAACCATCAGGAAATCTTCACATTTTCACTGTGGTAGTTTGCTGTAGCGAAGAAAACAGCAGCAGAAGGGAAGGACAGAGCTCCTGAAATGAGCAACCAATGACAGCCTTATACCTGCAATCCAACATCAGAAACTCAGATTAAAGTTGGGTAGACAAAACCTAAAACCCACACTGACTTTCTTTGTTGACCCAGGCTCTTTTCACAAGGCCTGCTCTCATAAAAGTATTTTATACGCGTCACGCAACTCTTCCGTCTGCACAAAATGTACCGATTGTGTGGCACCTACTTCAGTCCAGAGGAACAGGTTGTTACAATGGAGAGCCATGAAGAATATTAGAAAAATATTATGGTTTAAAGTCCTGCTGCTGCAAAGGATGTAAGAAAAAAAGGGTAGTAGAAAATTGATATTCCACCAAGTTAATATATTTATTTAGCCACTCGTTGCACTCTGAATGCAGCTGCTTATTGACAGCTGCTTATTAGAACTCTGAAATTTTAAACTTCACACGTTTAAACACGATACTCAAGAAGTGCATTTAGGTCTGTTTAGGTAACTGCACAGCTTTGTTCAGTGGGATTACTCACACACCGCTCAACAGGTTTATGGGTATAATATATTCCCTCAGGAAAGAATGTGTATCACTCATAGAGAATATCTTCAGGAAAAGAATTAGTGAAAGGGCGATGCTTCTTACAAATCATTTACATACCAAACTCTGATCATACAATCTTCAGGTTAGCGGCGTAGCACAAGTTACCGCAGTGATCTAACCAGGTTAAAAGAGAGCCACCTTTGTCACACTGCGAACTCTGACTGTCACCTCAACACACCTCGCTAACCCATCAATCTTGCTTCATAATACACTGCAACCCTCAGGTGAAATAATGAGTAGATTACAGGTTTGGTTAGCAAACTCAGCACGGCTTATCTCACCACTCAGTAACTCTATCCAGCTCTGGACAGTCTCTGGAGGTTGGGTTTCTTTGATGTGCTTCAAGGCCTCATCCAGCAGCACATCTCCTGTCGGAGCATCAGACTTGCAGATCACCTAGCCAAACAAAAGGAAACATATTTAACTAGGGTGATGGCTATAGTCTCCCTAACTCTTGACCTACACTTGCATCCTGTGTAAACAGGATTTACAGGGAGTGAGAGGCGCGAAATTGTTGGCAAGGAACCACCTCCTAGAAGAAATACAAACAGAACCAAAGAGTGACGAGTGTCTAGAACTATACTCAGGCCTAGACTTCAGGGGTGATGGAAGGGAAAGGTCCCCTTTACTATATTATATTAATATGTGTATTTGCCCCTCCCTTTGAGAAAAACATACAAGAAGCAAAGGATTCCTTCAAAAGTTTACTTATAGATGCAACAACGTCCCCAACAGAGGCGGGTCTTTTTTTTCCCCCTTCAAGAAGCAAATATGTGGAGAATGTGCAGAAGGTTTTCGACATGAGCAGAAACATATGAGTTGTTGGAGCAACATGCATTTTTGAAAGGGCTACTTTGGCAAATAAAATACAGAAAAGGGAGGCGGAAAAAAGTACATCATGCCTCCTGTATGTGTGTTGACTCATGAGGGACAGCAGTAAATAAGAAAAGTTGGATCTACAGAAAGCTAGCAAGAAAGCCTAAGAGCTTTTCTCCATTATATCCCATTATATTGTAAATTGTCACCCACATCCTGAATTGTGTGTTTTTCCCATACATGAATAAAGACATTTCCACCATAAATTGATGCAGAAAAGGAAAAATTCAGAGATTTCACAAGAATGCATATTCAAATTCAATCCATGCCTCTAGTGCTACCAAAAAAACAAAAACCATTTGGCATGGCATTTTCCCTCCCAAACACCTGACTCCATTATCATGCTCCTCACCTTCCTGGCCAGGAGGCTTTTCCTCCTCACACCGCAGGCCTCCAGCTGTAGCCTCCCCCTGAGGGCTAGCTCCACCAGCATACACCCACGGAGGCCGGAAGAAATACAGTCGTTCCAGAAAGACGTGTAGCCCTGGAAGGAGGAGTGAGAGGAGAGAAAAAAAAAACACACACTTGCTTACTTAGCTGACGTGTTGGTTGGTGGACATGCAAAGCGGCTAGCGGTACTTCCAGGTTGTAGGAGGGGGGTGGTGGGAGTCACGTCGCACCTGGCAAGTTGTCAAGAAAACTGGACAGGTAACGCAAGAAACCACAGCGACTTAGCTAAAACTGCTCAGTTAGCTTCGGGCATTTGCTGTCATTCGAGCAAAAACCAATAAGCACAAACAACTGTTAGCTAACTTAGCTAATGGTATTTTGACAGCTTTATATACAAGCTACTTGGCAGGTTTGCTAATAAGCTTAACAGCAACACACACTTGACACACAAATCCACGAAAACATCAATACAACTCGAATAAACCAAGTTAGCTTTGTTGACATTTGCAAACACGGTCGGTGACGCAACGTAAACACTATGTTAGCTAATGTTGCACATAACGAACAAGTTACTAGCTAGGCTGGGTGACGGATTTGTACAGACTGCCCACACCTCTCGATCCTTGAGGCCCAAGAGCAGCACTTCCTCCATGAGTGTGAGCCTGGTTTCCTTCGAGTCCCCCTTGTCGTCGTCTTCCTCCTCCCCGCGGCGCGCCTCGTCCTCCTCCCCGCCGGACTCCCTCTCCTTGTCGGCGGCGGCGCTGCGAATGGCCTCGGTCCTCCTCTGGACGAGGCCCGAGGTTCTCTGCGTGAGAGAAGTCATAGCTGCGGCTGCGAAACGAACAGATCCGAAGAAAAGCGTCTGCCTCGACCAGAGGGGGAGCCGCGCAGCATGTAACCTGGATGTTAAAGGTGAAAACGGCGAAACGGTAGACCGATCGACTGAAGACGGCCGTTGGCGTTAAGCTCGGCTCGGGATTCCTGCATAGACTCTGCCCACTTCCTGATCCAACATGGTGGCGCTGCCCGTGACGTCGATGTGCTCTGAACGCAGCCGCGGACGCGTCCCTCGTGGTGCCTTCAGGGCCGTCGGAATTACCGTGAAATTAAACGCTGATCACATACGGTGCTGTACAGACGAGCGTTGTTATGATCCTGAGACACTGGGGGCCTTAGTCCAGCCCACAAATCAATCAAAAACACTGACAACTCTGATTTTATTTAAAAAAACAAAAACAGCACAAGTTATGATTATACGAGGAACAGGTTGTTATAATGGAGAGCTGTGAAGAATATAAAACATATTATAGTACAAAGTGCTGATACTGCAAATTATATAAGAGAGGTATTCTGGCAGAAAACTGTTAGTCGTGAAAGTTAATATATTTATTTTACCACTCAGTGCACTCTTTAAAGGTCATGCATTAGCACCTAATGCTCAACAAGGACATTAAGGTCTGTCACCTAATGGAGGGAGGGTATCACTTTAGTTTTTGGCCAAATCAAAGTGAAATTAAAGTTAATGATTGAATATTTTCTGTGATAAATACCAATAGACGAATCAGTTTTTCTAATCCGTGTTCTATTAGCTGCAGTTCTCTCAAATGTTTTTACTTTAACCTCTTAATTGCACCATTCTTAAATTATTTCAGAGGAAACGTGATATATATAAAAAAAGGAGACATTTACTTTCTTTCTATGCTCAACCTATGTTCCACATTAATATCACAGTGATCGCAGGTTCTTCTAGAACTGTTTGCCTGGAATTAGTCTTATTTAGGATGATTCACAAAGATGTGCCATGTGATGAACCTTTAGCTAGACCAGGGTTACTAATTTTACCTGTGAGATTACATATCTTAAAGGTTATTGATGCTTTTTATTCTTAATAATGACAATAATAATCAGAATTTTATTTTATTTTATTTTATTTAAGCTAATTTAAGTTCATTAGAGTAATTAATCATTAAAATAGTTCAGGAGAACAGATGCAGGTGCTTGTGAGGGTAGAAAGTTAATCCATAAAGTCACATATCACAACATATCAAAGAATAATCAGAGCAAATCTGTTGTCTTGAGGTGACAAACTTAGTGTTGCACTGAACAGTGTTTTGGATCCACAGATTGACTTCAGTTAAGCTTTTTAAAACAAGTACATCTGTACTGAGACGTTCAGAGATGTGACTGCTTTCTAAGAGAGACAAAAAAAACGAGATTATTTTGTGATCTTTGAAAACAAAAAAGATGTTGATATACAGGAAATACATTTATATTATTCAACAAAAAAAAATTCACTCAAGACATCATGTAAAACCAGCTGTAACCACAAGGTGGCAGGCTGCAGCTAGGAGATGTGCAGCTCTGGTGTCCTTTCTTACTTCCTTAACTTGGTGCTGCTGAATCCCCTTATATATGTATATTTGTTGTCACAATCTCTGAGACTAAATTAGACTAGCTATAGATTTAAAATAAACTCATCAGAGGGAAAACTATCTCATTAATTAACCCTGTGTCAGCGGTATTTCTGACACTGTGCTTATAGTCAATGCTGGTATCTCTTTGTTGGCTCGTGCTGCTGTATGTCAGGTATTATAGGAGCACTTCACCCTGGCAGAGGTCCACCGCTGATGATGATTTAGCAAATAAGCTCCCAAATGTCCTCCACTTGACCTCTCTCCCTTTCCATCTCCTGTGCGCCAGTGCTTTCTGCAACTTTCTTTAAGAGAGGCGTAGCAGCAAACCTCAGGCCAATTCCATGTATACAGATCTGGATAGTCAGCTGGTCTTTTTTTATGGCAGATAGTTTGCCTTGTAGCATTAAAGGCACAGGTGGAACTAATAACTTTAATAAGGCCGACATTCACAAAAGCCGGGTCCTGGAACTGGAACAACTTATTCACGTTATTAGTTACACTTGGGATTTTTCCTGCTCTGATGTCAAATGCCTCCCATTAAAAAAATGTCCTTGTACACATCACAAGAAACAGAAGTCTTTGCTACAACATAAAATATAATCACATTTCTCTATTGTTTACTTGTTTTACCTCCAGAACTACAACACAGGAAAATCATTAGCAAGGACATTGGTCATTTTATGCAAAAAAACATGGAAAGCATTCAAAAACTATTCAAATAACCCCCAATTAAGTCCTATGCAAATAGGCTGGACAAGGCTTTTGACATTGTTTCTCTAATGCTGTACCAACTTAAGTGACAAACTATTCAAATGGTCTGCAATGACAGTGAAAAACACGACTAAACTGGTTCCACAAGTGAGTATAATGTCATTTTCATGCTTGGAGTATCAGTGTAAAGTGTAAATACAGCAGGTGCTTCTTTCCTGCAGCTAATATTCCAGAAAAGATCCAGAGTTTCTACATAAAAAAAACACATTTCTTGTTGTTTTTAATACCAATTTTGCACCAATTTTACTTTATTGTTCAAAATAGCACTTTTGCTGGTATCTTATTCATTGAGGAATTCTAACTACATAAGGTCCAAAGTTAATTTCTTTTTCTCATATTTAGAAATCACAGTGTTGCACGTGCTTCCAAAGATGTTCTGAGAGTTGCTGCTGTGAGAAGTGAGCCTGCATTCAATCTGCCAATAAGGAGGAGTCCCCGCACTGGGAGACGTAGCTGTCCTTGTATGGTTAGTTTTGTCAGGTATTTATTTTGTCGGGCTCTGTCCTCTCAGTGAGAAATGTACACACAACAAGACAGTCTGTGTGTGTTTCTGAACTGTTTTCCGTGAAGTCAGCATTTAATCCTGAAGCAAAAAAAAAAAAAAGATTTAAGCAAATATGAGTTATCTTGATTAATGTTTCTGTAAACAAGAAAATCTCCCACCAGAGGAAAGAACACTGTTAAAGATATTGATTATTGGGGTGAAATGAGGTTAGATTCAATCAGCACTGTTGGTATTTAGGCTACATTCTTAAGCATTTGTTTCTGATTTCATTAAGCAGTATGATCATTATCAGCCACAGTTCCTGAGTGGTAATGAGTAAAGCAAACAACTGGCTCTCTGGCCTTGCATGTTGCGTAAAGCGAAATCAATTATGCAGCCTATTTGGGGTTAAATAACTCATCTCGTAAAACTATGGGCCCAGGATATTAAATCATGTGCTCTCTTGAAGAGGAAATGTTTGTAAATGCCTGCAGATCACATGAAGCGACCACAGCAGATCTGGAACGAGAGGATTTAATCTGAGATAAGACGAAACCGTTGACCCCTGTAGGGAAATGAGGTCTCTGCAGCTTCAAACACTGATTCAGTGACGTTAAAGTCAAGGTACAGAGTGTGAACACACAGATATGATATAAAATAGGCAATAGAAGAGTTGGAAAAGCCACCAGTAGCACCTAAATATAAATAAAGATAATATGTGGCTTCTATTTTTAACGTATTAAGCAGCTTTATTTCAAGCAAAATAGTATTAAAAAGCAACAGTACTGCAGACAGTAGAAATGGTAAACAGTCTTTTTAGGTTTGTGATTGAACCGCTGACCTTGCGACTATTGGACAACCTGCTTCACAACCTGAGTTACAGCCTGAACGAAGTGATGCATAATTAATGATGGAGAGTACATAAGACCACAATGCATTGCTTATTTTTTTACTGAGCAGGGACTTTGTTCCTTTATTTTCTTCTTTTTATTTAAATTAAAAGGTGTCTCGAAATGATTTGCCATCTCATGTTGACCTGGGGCGAGTGTAACTCACTGTGAATGAATTTCAACCACTTCAACACACATCTGTAAAGTAAATAGTTCTACTTTTTTTTATTATTGTGCTATTTTTTCAGTTGGGTGTCTCGATTTACGTCCCCAGCTGAGGTTTGAGGTCTCAGCGTGTTTCTGACCTGGTTCAAACCTGAACAGAAAGTGGGCCTTGTGTTTTAAACGGTGGCAGCAGAGAGCAGTTTGAACTTGAGCCCCTTTCGTGACACCTAAAAGCCTCAGTAAAGAAAAGGCAGTTAACCCACTAATCTGCTGTGTGAGGCCCCCAGAGAGCGCTGTTCAAAGGAAGCCGGGGCTTTGATTTTATTGTTGCGGTGGGCTATAAATGTGATATACTGATTATAAGCTACTGTGAACACAATGCACAGCAGATAATGTTGCAACTGCAGCTCATAAAGCTTTTGCTGTTAACCTTGAAGCTAATCTCACTAAAATGCTCGCGCTATTACTATAAATAGTCTGTCTTTTTTTTCCTTCTAAATCACTGTAGTATTGTTCGACTTTTATTATTCGCCCACTGAACTCGTGAATACCTGCAGTGAGACTTCTGTTTAGCTTGCTTTAAGAGAGATCTGATTAAACTGGCATAACATCAGCACTACTGTTGAATGATTAGCTCATATAAATGTATTATTATTGATTATTTTTTTAATAAAGGCTGATTAAATTAATCTAAAATGTAAACTAAGCACATCAGTGGTGGAGGACACATTACCACAAGTACTACCTTGTAAAAATGCTTAAAATGTTTCATCCATAATGTTAAAAATGAAAGTTTAACATTAAAAAAAAACTGTACTTAAAGTAAAACTAAACGCTCTCAATGTAGAAAAAAATCCATCTTGTAAAATAACTATTAGCTATAGCAAACTTCAAATCAAATATCAAGTGTATTCTTGCACTTGCCAAGCTGTCATTGTGTTGCCTGGTTAAATAAAGGTTAAATAAAATAAATAAACAAACATCCATCCATCCATTATCTACACACCGCTTAGTCCTCACTAGGGCCACGGGGGACTTAGGGTGAAGGCAGGGGACACCCTGAACAGGTCACCAGTCTATCACAGGGCTACACTTAGAGACAGACAACCAAGCACACTCACATTCACACCTACAGACAATTTAGAATCACCAATTAACCTCAACATGTTTTTGGACTGTGTGGGAGGAAGCTGGAGAACCCGGAGAGAACCCACGCTGCACGGGGAGAACATGCAAACTCCACACAGAAAGATCCTGGGTGTCCTCACCGGGACGCAAAC